TAAGGGTAGGGTCCTGGGTGGTACAAATGATTGTTAGACCAAAGGGTTGCTGGTTCTGACTCCTTTTTCCACAGATACCTCAGAAGACAGGCCTGGTGATCTTCCAAAATTATCAATTCAACTCAACTCATTGTTGGAATTGACTTACAGCTGACCTTCTAGCAGGTTTTTGGAGGCTGTAAATTGCACAAGAGATTGTCATGTTTTCTCCTGATTTGCCACTGCTGGCTTCGAACCTCAATAGAGGATGTGGCTGTTGTTAGATGCCATCAAGTCTACTATTACTCATAGAGATTCTAGAAACAGATCGGAACTCTGTCCCACCCTCACCATCCTCAATATTGTCGAGCCCTTTATTTCCGTCATTATGTCAATTCATCTTGGTCTTCCTCTTTCTCTTACCCTTCATTTCCCCAGCTCCCTCCTGACAACATGCCCCAAGTACGTGAGGAAAGTTTCACCATCCTTGCCTCAAGGAGCACCTTGGTTATACTTGACAATCTTACAGGGCAGCGGGTTCCATACAATGGGTTGGCTAGAGTTGAAATAAACCCAACAGGGTAACGTCAACAAAAAGGGGAGGAGGAGAAGAGGAAGTGAAGACTCCCGTCCAGGCCTGCACCACTTGGCCTCTGGGACACATCCCGACTCCTGCAGGGAGCTACCCAGGAAAAGAGAATGGTTGCATTAAAGCTCCTAGTTTGGACCTCGCCTTCCTTCCATCCTGGGAAGGAGCCTAGGAAAACAGTCCTAAAGACGGCTCCACTCTAGAGCCTTCTCTGAGATGAGCTGGCCGGTGCCTTAGATATGCGCCTCTGGTCCCTCAGGCATCTCATTCTGGGGAGGCTGTGGTCATTCAAATTCCCACACGGTGCTGCCAGTGACACCTTCTCTCGCTGGATCCCTCCCTCCCACCAAGAGCCTCACCAACTTCAAAAGCCTAATTGCCCCTGATTTGGGCTGTTTCCTTGTTTTGTTTCCCCAGGTGAGGAAGTTCCTGGTCAGTTTCACTTTCATATGCGATTGGTCCCACACTAACAGCCAGGCTACAACTGGCCTGGGGTTGGGAAGTGTTTGGAAAGACTGAAGGGGCGTGTGGCTTTGTTTTAGGGAGGGAAGGTGAAACCACCAATTAGGAAGGCTGAGGGTGAGGTGAAAAGTTATAAAGAAATGGACCCAATGGTCTGGGCGACTCCAGCTGTCTCTTTCCCTCCCCGGCTCCTCTACAGGCCGCCCAGGGCCCCCACCCCCCAACCCTTTCAGCAGATGCCAAGGCTCTTGAGACAGATGATGAATTAACTGGGAGCAGGAGAAAAGATGGCATTTGGAAAGTTCTCTCTTCAGGTAGAGAGTGCAGATGAAGATAGAAAATAAACTCTCCCACTAATTAATTGTATAATGTTATGTGTTACTCATCTTTGTAGATTCAAAGATCTCATTCTTTACCTTTGCCTGTCTTTTCTTTTCCTTTTTTTGGTTCTCGGTGACATTTTCTCTATTCTGTCCTGTGCACGCACATGTGCTTATGTACATATGTCTGTCCTGGTGTATGCGCATTTTTGTTGTTTCAAGAGCCTGTCCTTTCCATGTCTGGCTTATCTTGGGGAGAGGGGAGAGAGAAGTGTGAGTGAGGGGTTGGACGTGTCTTGTCTCCAGGGAGCCAGTCCTTGCCTAAGAAACATTTCAGGAAACAGCATATGAAGAAAGGGTCAGAAATCTCCCCAAGAGTAAAGAGTGAGTAAATAGAGAGACTTTCCCAATCAGAATTAGATGGGGTTCAACATAACTCTCTTCTTTCCAGGCTCTGTGCTGAGCTGGAGGTTGCTGAGAGTGGTGGTGTGAACAAGGCGATCTCATCTCTTTCCTAGAATCTTCAACCTTATTCGGAAAATGCATATTCCATTAAGCTGGCCATTAAGTCGGGACACACTTGGCGCAGGTGAAAAGAGGTGGGAGGGTGGGCGCGCACGTGAGGCCAAGGACCCTTGGGGCAGAAGGCAACTGGCAACTCCAGCGTGGGGGAGCCTGGTGGCTAGTGACAGGGCCCTTCTTTTATAGGAGGCATGCGGGGGCGAAGGAGCTTCCTTGTGGGCCCAGGAATGCTAAGGAGGGTTCTAATTAGAAGCCTGGGCTCCTAACCCACAGGCTCTCCGACGCTCTCCCTTCTCACACCCCGCGGCTGGCGGGGCGGGCGTCAGTGTCCGCGTGCCAGCGGGCACAGCAGCCTCGGCGGCCCGCGCTCGGGGCGGCAACCGGGCGCGCAGGTGCTTCGCGGCGGCGGCGCGTGGCTGTGAGGGCGGGCGCGGGAGGCGCAGGCCAGGGCTGGCGGGCGACAGCGCAGCGCGCCCAGGGACTCTTGGGACCCTTGGACACCCGGTCAGGCCCTCCCCTCGCCCGCCTGTGCTGCTTTGGGGTCCGACAGACCTCCGAGCCCCCCTCCTGGGCGCCCCTGATCCCGAGCCATCTCGACGAAGAGAAAAATTATTATCGGATTAAATGTACTTCGGCTTTCTCGCTCTCTCCCATCCCCTTCCCCTCGGCGTAATTATTATAATTCCAGGCAAGCCGTCGGAGAGGGTTCCTGGAGGGGGGCAAGCGTGTTTGTGGGGAGGCTTCTCTCCAATTCTGGGTCATCGTCAGCCACCAGCCCGGCTCCTCACCTCCCACCGCGCCAGCACACCCCTCCCAGCTTGGTTCAGAAAATCCTGGGCATCTTTCTGGGCGCCTGCCTCCCCGAGGACAAATCGTCCTGGGATTGACTGTACGGTACTTGGGGGTGCTGGCTGTGCAGAAAAGGAAGCTTCCCCCCAGACAATCCCCCCCCCACCCCGTCCAGGGTAACAACAACCTCCCCAGCCTCTGCCCCTCCCAAATGTGCAGATGAAGGAGAGGCTGCAGAGTTAAGACCCTTGGGGATCCTTCTATGGCCAGTCTGCCCGTCAACCTCCAGGCTCAGAAGTCTTCCCATTAACACGCGCTGTCGTGGGTGGGAATGAGGATCCCTTCAGATATGGGGTTCCAGCCTCGCTGGAGTCTCACAGACTTCGTCACTCTCCTTACCTCTTCAGCAGGCCCACCACAGCCCGCGCAGGGGGCGCACAGACGGAGCCCACACCCGCTCCCAAACAGAGGCCATAGGAAGAGCTGGGAGGCAGGGTGACGGCCCAGTGCACCCTGCCGCCGGCTCCCCACCCCTCCCGGGGCTCGGTCCCAGCTGTCTTTACGTAACTTTGCTGCTTCGAGCTGTTCAGTCTTGTCTCACTGACTTTGTTTTAAAGTGTGCGCGCGCGTGCGTATGTATGTATGTATGTGTGTACAAGATAGGGTCCTTGCGGAAAGTCTCCGGCTAATCTTCCTCTCCCCCCCCCCGCGCCGCCTCCTGCTCGCCCTCCCATCTCCTCTTGCTGTCTCCTGGCCTCTGACTGCACGTCGCCTGGCGTCGGTGTCGCCTGTGCCCCATCTCATTCCCGCCCCTCTCAGCCCACTGCTCTCTTCGTCCGACGCCAGGAGCAGCCAGGACCTTTCCGCGCTTAGTTGGTCCTCTGGGCCAGAAGGTCAAAGCCCCTGGAAGCTCCACGCCCTTGTCCCAGTCTGGCCCAAACAGGTCGATAGTGGCCGCCAAGGAAAACAAGACTGCACGGCCCGAGCGGAGCAGGAGGAGCAGGGCGCGGGTTCCGGGCCACCGTGGGCGCCCAGCCCGAGGGGACCGCGGCTCGGGGGCGGGACAGGGACAGAGGCGGATGAAGGGAAGTCTCACTCACCACCAGATCGGGTAGCTGCCCAGAGCCTGTTTCAGGCCGCAGAGGAATAAGAAGTATCCAAGCGGGGCCATCGCCAGACAGGAGAGCGCACAGGGCCGGGAGTCCGCCCCGAGAGCGCGGGCGCCGGGGCGGGCTGGGCCCTGGGAGCTGGCGCGGCTGCGGCTCGGGGG